GCTGCCATTAAAATTGTATTTTATTTTTTTTTTGCTAAGCGGCACCTAAAAACTTTTTTGGCTTAATTTTTTGTTAGCCAACTTTGTTCTACATATAACTCCAGCCACACAATCAAGCCACTTTCTTGAGTTTCTTGCCATATCGTTGTGTTCGGTAGGCGTGACCTGCCCGCCTGGTTAGCACACAAAGTAAGTTTTCATGGCAAGAAACGTTTTATTTTCTGCTCTCGTTTTCATTATTTTTTCGCTTTTTTGGGAATGCAAACAAAAGTTTTCATTGTGCTTGCTTTGATGTGTTTCATTTGCACCTGCATCTGGCTACCTTTGATGACTGCGCTCTCCTCTTTGTTGTGCAATATTAAAAACTCTTTTATGACAGAAGACTGCATAAGCCAACAGCTGAGATCTGCCAATCGAATGTCGGCACAAATCAGCCTGAACTAATATGTGAATATATGTATATAACATGGCTTGGGTATTTATTTGGTTTATTTTTAGATTTTGTATTAGCTGTATTTAAAAGTATTTTATTTAAGTTTGTGATGCCATTGTCAGATATATTATATACTTAAATATAACATATCAACTGAAAATTCTTTAGTTAAAAGGTTGATATATAATAAAAAGGCTAAAATGTTTTCCGTAAGGTTCAATTATATATTATATAATTTATCAATATTTATCTCGATTTTATTAGATTTTTCTAACTTTTTTGTCTTATAAATAAACAGAAGCTAGCTTCTTGTTTTATATATTATTTTGTGTTGTTTTTTTGTATATATATTTCTACTCATTTTTTATATTTTTGATTTTGAAATATTTTGTATGCTCTACATTTTTTATATTAATTTTTATTATATTTTGAAATGTGTATTCATTTATTCTTACTTAACTATATATTTTTTTTTAATATATATATTATTTTAATATTTTTATATAGTCATTTTTTTATAGTTTATCCTTTATTTACATGCATATTTTTTAAATTTTTTTAATAATTCAAAATATTTTTCATTTAGTATATATTTTGTTTTCATTAATATTATTTTAATACTTATTTTTATATTATTTTATTTTTTATTTTAATATAATTTTAATTTTAATATTCATTATTTATTATAATTTATTTTTAATATTTATTTTTTAAAATATTTTTATATGTAATTTGTAATTAATATTTTTATTTACTTTATTCATTTTATTTTATTATATTATACTTTATATTTTTATTCTAATATAAAGTTGTTCCCAATAAATGCACTCTTAAGTAAATATAAGTAAATAAAAGAGATTACAGGATAACACCTAGTCGATCAATCAATCTGAGTTTGTATACCATTGTTATCGTTGTCCTCTGCCAAGACTCTTTTCTTTGTCAGCCGTCGCCATCAAAACATTTGCGACGATTTTTTGTCACTGCAAATCGTTTGCCAAACACAAAACGATTCAGTTTTGGCGCTGTTATTCATAAAAAACGTTAAGCGAAAGTTTTATTGAGCAACTTTGGGTGTGCAGAAGAACTGCAATTGCAAACGCAATCAAATGTCTTTATGAAACTTCACTTTGAGCACAATTTCATAAACTAGTTTCATTTAAAATTTAATATTTTTTATTATGAACATTTGAGTTTTTCAACACATCTCGATTTATTCCACTTTCCATAAATGAGCTGAAATTGATTAGATATTTGCATGTCACATCGATAATATGTTCAATTAAATCGCTGCGAATCTGTAATTGGATATTATGTTGCGTAATTTGCTTGTCAGGTGAACTGCCCAGATTCCGCGAATCTGGATTCATGCATTGCGATGGCAGCTCCTGTTTGTTGTTGGCTACGCGCTGGTCAAGCGCATAATTGAGCCGCTCTCCACTCAATTCAAAGTATTCGAATCATTTGTGTTTGTTTTGTTTGCGTTGCATGATTGAGCGCCAACCCGATATATATACATTAAGTATGACAGATCTATAGTTAATTACTAGCATTACTGTTGGCCAACTCGACATGTGCTGCTGAGTGCCAAGTTGTGGGCCAAGTTGTTGGCATAATTACCGACATTTTTCGCTCGTCTATAATTCGGGCTCGTGCCATAAGTCAAAGTATTTGCTTTTTTCCTCTTCGCTGGCCGCATTTAGGATTTCTCTTATTGTTTTTCTTTTTCAGTTGGCCAATGATTGATTAGCTGTTGGCCAGATGTTGTTTCTGCCTACTTTTTTTTTATTTTGCCTAATCAAACTGGAAATATTTCTGCAACTGAAATCGTTGATAATCAGATGTATTCCCAAATGCTGCTCTTCTATTTATTTCGACTCGCAGAGCTTCCGAAAGCGACTGCATTCAAGGAGTAGGCCACTCGTTCGCTTTGGTCGAGGCAATAATTTAATAAAATTACTCAGGGGCGCCACATAAAAACCAAACATAAAGCAAAGCACAACAAAATATTGTTATCAGGCCTTCACACACACACTCGGGCTGCCACCCACAGAGAGAGAGAGAGAGAGACGCTGGTTTGCCATTTTATGGCATAAATTTAGAGCGCCGCTTGGCCCTAGGCTAGATTTGGGTCCAGCCGGGTGCAGGTCCAAGTTTCATTGTTTTATGCGACACTTTGTGAGCACAGATAGAAAAATTGCTGTCATATTTGCCTCTCCATTTGGTGATTACGCCTGATTTCCATTTAGATGATGGACGAGCCCCAAACAGCGCCCATTTCCCACCCACGCTGCTGCGTCGCTTGAGCTGTCAACAAACCATAAAAACTTTTATTTCTTTAATGTTCTCTTGTGGCTTCAATTTTGTCACTCCGCTTGTCGTTTGTAGCTGTTCAATCACTTAAGCTTTTTAATTTGTTGCTGCTGCTCTACAGATAAAGGTTTGGCTGTATGAAAATGAAATATTCGAAAACTCACATTTCTAGATGGGCAACTGACTGATTGAGGAAATCAAACATGTTTTCATATCAAATGTGCTTCAATTTCCATATTCATGCGTTTTCCTGGAATGAATTCAAGTCACACAATGCCTGAGGCAGTTAGTTTCGCGTCCTTGTCTCATTAATTATCTATTTGTTGCGCATTGGAGCAGTTCGAGCAGTTCAACTGAGTGAAGGTGATGTGTGGCGTGTGCTAAGTGCACTTCTCGATACCAATTAGTTGCATGCAAAGAGCCAACAGCCAATCGATCAACGCTGCGTATGATTAATGCGTGGGAAATGGATCATGAAAGTGATTAACGGCCTGGCCTGGCCTGGCCGTGTTTGGGCCCAGTTAATTGCCTATCAAGAGTTCGGAAACTGTTTGCAACTCTCGGAGTTCATTTGCAGATTAATTCAACTTTTGGCTGATTTTAAATTGAAGCAATTAATATTTGTTGCTGTCACGCCTCCAGGTATTCCGAAACAATTTCACTTGATTGTTTAACCCGCTTATCACCGGGCCAAAAATCTTCGAAACAATTCGGCAAGTAACCGACTGGCAGCTGCGGCGCCCAAAGGGGCCACGACACACGCCCCCGCGCCGGAAATTCAATTCAATCAAGTTGTCTGTGCTGGGGCGCACTGTACTGAGTGCCTTAAATCAAAATCATTGCCACGGCGCAGGGAGTGGGCTGGGCGCCACTCAAGGGCTGGCAAACAAACCTTTAACTTTATCAAAGGTGCTAAATTTGCGCCGAAGTGTCGTTGGCATCGCGAAATCAAATGCAAACAAGTCGAGCCCAGCTTTCAGAGCTCCGACAGGCTACACCGACAACCATGTCCTTCCCGTGCTTCTACCCCTCTGCATGTGTCCCTCAGTGTGTGGGCGTAGACAGGCATAAATTTGTGCTCAAGCCCGGACTACGTGCTGTGGCACTGCCTAAAGGATTAGAGGCGGCAGTCGCAGACTTCGTCCTTGATTCTGAAGCGCAGCAAAGCCAAGGACCGGGCTTCACGCCGAGTCCTGGCAAGGACGTTGAAATTTATATCACTCTCACATTCAAGGGGGCGTAACGCCTGCAGAGTTATTGCAAAATGCTGCAGCCAAACTTGATTGACCACGATATACCCCCACTGCATGTAGAAGGCCCGCATTGTCTACCCAATAGCCTAATATACTCTATTGTAATAGCCGATTCAGCAGCTGAAGATTTATGTAGTTGCCCACGCGAGCTCTGTTTGCCACTTCGCAGCGAATATACCCCGTTGGCCGTCGAGGTACGGGTATGCGAAGACGTTGCGGTTGAGTGTCTATTGCTGTTGGTATCTTTATTGAAAATGCGTCTAGCTTTCAAGTCGTGTTCTTTTGAATAAAAACAAACAGATAATGTTATTCTTAAGGCTGAGTAAATAGCTTCCAATTGAATGGAACTGCGGATTTCGTTTGCAGTGACAAATCGCTTTATAAATATAAGTTAAATGTTGAAATTTAAGATTTCAATTAATTAGAATTTCTTTGTTTTTGGACTTATTACAAGAAAGACTTTTTTGTGGGTGTTTTCAAGAGGCAGCTGGGTGGCAGGAGCTCAGCTCAGAAACATTTTCGCTCTATATATTCTATAACAGTTATCAAAAAGTCACGAGTGGCCTAAGAAGTTCTCGTTCTCCATGTGGTATACTTGATATATATTTCAGAATTTATATTTTGAGTCTCGATTAGGCACGTTGGCTTTATATATACACCAAAAAAGCTGCATCTAGACAGATATTCTTTATTATAGCCAATTCATATTAAGAAGTAGTCCAATCAAAAAGAAACTGGTGCAACGTGTCGTATGCGTAATATTTTTGATGAATATTAAATGGGTATATATGAAGAACTTGAGCAGTTGAATTTGGCTTGTTTATCTGAATATTTAAAGCATATTTCAGACAGTTCAAAGCCCAACAGCTTTGTCCTGCTCACACAGCTGAATAATATAAAAAAATAGAAGACAATAAAAAAATGAATTACTTAAAAAAACTCCATAAATTTGAGTTGCGAATGGATATTTAATAAGTTTCGTATTCCACTTTTTGTTACAGTTCATTGACAGCCACAATATGGTGCACAACGAGGAGCTTGCTCTGGACACGGGTGTCACGCGGGGCACACCTGTTGCCATCAACGGCGACACCAAGCCGAATCAGCGCCTGTACGAGCCGCGCGAGCGTTTCATAATAACCAAAAATGTTGTCGTCATTGGGCTGGCTTTCATGATACACTTCACGGCCTTTCACGGCACATCGAATCTGCAGAGCTCGGTGAATGCCGACAAGGCGCTGGGCACCACAACGCTCGCCGTCATCTATGGCTCGCTCATATTGTCCAACATATTTTTGCCCATGACTGTGATTAGGTGAGTAGCCCATCGACTCTTCTAATAGAAATTATTTTCTCCAGTTTTGAAGGACCTTTTTGATCACTCAAACTTGCAAAATGCAAACTGTTTTCGCTTGATATCTTTAAGATAATCTCATTGTCATATAATTGTTTGGCAGCTCGAGGCGGGGACTTAGACATAAATTTTCGGCATTGCCATAAATGTCTGGCAATTGCGTGGCGTTTTTATGGCAATTTTATGCAGATGCGACAGTCGAACGGCAGTCAACAGTCAGCAGTAAATACTTTGCCTCGTCCTAAAGCGTTTGACTGCTAAATGTCAACGGGCGGACCTTGGGGAGTTGTGGGCGTAGTCAATAGCTCCTACTTTCGTCCTTACTGCTCATCCCTTTTTGCCTGCTTTTGGCTGACGACCATTTTGCTTTGGCTGACATTTAAACAAATCGCTAATTTATAGAAAGCGTTTGTAGCTGCCGCCCGCCGGCCAAGTTTCGACACATTTTTCCGACCCGTTTGACTTATGCCAGGCACGCGCGCCAGCCGCTGGCCCCAAAATGCTGTCCATGGCAACTTTAATCAGTTAACTCGATTTATTTAGATTTATGGCCGTCCTTGGAGCAGCTGCTTAGCTGCCCAGTAGCCCACTGGCCCTCTGCTCCGCTGGGCTAAAACAAATGGCTAACACTAAGCTTTTGCCACTTACTCTAATCAACAGTTGGTTCGGCTGCCGGCTGACCATGGCCCTGGCCCTGTTCGCCTACATGCCGTACATCGCAGCTCAGTTCTATCCGCGCTTCGAGACGCTCATTCCGGCCGCCTTGATGGTGGGCTTCGGCGGCGGTCCGCTGTGGTGCTCCAAGTGCACGTATTTGTCCACCGTCTCCGAGGCGCTGACTAAGGTGCGCGGCAGCAGCTCGCGCAAGGATGTCAACACGGTCAAGTTCTTTGGTCTGTTCTTCATCTTCTACCAAATGGCTCAGGTGTGGGGCAATCTCATCTCCTCGTCGGTGCTGACACTTAGCGCAGCGACTCCAGCTAACGAGAGCCTGGAACTGGAGCCTCTCGAGGCGAGCATAAGTCGCGTGGGTGAGCTGTGCGGCGCCCGCTTTTGCCCTGGCGTCAGCGCTGAGGTGAATCCCAATCTGGTGCCTCCGGCGCCCGAGCAGATTCAGCTGCTCAACTCCATCTTCCTCGCTTGCATGGCCGGCGCAGTGATTATGATGATTTTCGGTGTCAGCTCACTGAAGCGGTAAGCTCAGATATAAATGCATCTGAAAGATACATTTAAATGTACTTCATTGTGCTCCGCAGCTATGGCGTTAGTCGCGGCGACACGGGGGACGGCATCTCTGGCCTTAAGCTCTTAACTGTGACCATTAATCTGTTGCGCAAACGCCGCCAGATACTCATGCTGCCCATTACCATGTTCATTGGCCTGGAGGAGGCATTCCTGGCCGTCGACTTTACACGCGTAAGTGAGCTTTAAAGCTTAGCTGTAAGCTGTGCAAGCAAAGCTATAGTCCTGCTTCTTACTCACCTCAGTCGTTCGTTGCCTGCGGCTGGGGCATTTCCAAAATCGGATTTGCTATGATCTGCTTTGGGGTGGCCAATGCGATTGCCGCTGGCATTGCGGGCGCCTTGGTGGAGCGCTTCGGACGTGTCACTCTGGCGGCCATCTGCGCCGTGCTTAACATCTGCCTGCTCGCCTACATGTTCAGCTACGAGGCACGTGAGGGCGACTACCTCATGTACTGCACCTTTGCGGCTATTTGGGGCATCTGCGATGGCGTCTGGCTGGTTGTTGTCAATGGTAAGTGCAAGCTTTCCGCGAGCTTTTGCCCAACACTCAAGTTCTCTCTTACAGCTTTTTATGGCATTCTGTTTCCCAACCACCTGATTGCTGCGTATAGCAACTTCCGTTTATGGGAGAGCACGGGTTCTGTCATTGGCTACGTCATCAGCTCCCAGTTGTGCACATCCACGAAACTGATAATTCTAATGTGTGTGATGGCTGTGGGCTGTGTGGGGTGAGCTCCTCATTTACATAACTCATCTTTATAGCATTTCAATTATTTTGAATACACTTGCAGCTATGGCCTGATCGAGTATCGTGTGTGGCAGAAGCAAAAGAACCTAGAGGCCATGTTGAGCGACTGATGGATCATTGACTCTGCCGCGATTGCTTTGCTAATATTCGTTCATGTGATATTGCCAGTCTACATTAAGAGCAATTAAGAACAATGTAATTAGTATTAATAAATTAGTTTCTAAGTTTCCACTGAATATACAAACTTTTGTGTTCCCTCAACATTTGACTCTAAATTGAGCGGGATATGCCAAGCGCTGTAAGTCGAGCTACTCTAACACACACATGCGAATGTCAAGGCAGATCGTTTTATCTCAATGTTGATAACACTGCTCCCGTCGGAGCCTCGTCTAGTTTTACATCCTTTCATTCAATAATTTATTTAATATCTCTACATAGCCTCTATCACCAACGCCACTGCACTGCTTGCTCAAAAAGATGCCGATCTAGCCTCACATATGCCAAACTGCCAATTCATATTTGCAAAGCAAATCCAAAAAGTCCAATGATATCTGAATTTGCAAAACAGAACTTATCGACAACAACCGTCACTGCACTGCTTGCTGAAGAAGATGTAGATCTAAGCAAATTTTGCACTGCCTCCACCAATATTGTCAGTGCACTGCTCGTTTGAGAATTTTGTAGGTCTCAACTACAGTAGCAGCTGACAATTGAAGCTCAATTCAATTGTAATATGAATAGATATGTGCACATGTATAGGAAAATGCGTAAGCTAGACACTGCTTGCCAAGTGATTGTGTAAATTGGACTCTAGCCTCACATGGACATATTAAGCCAATGCAAAAGCTCGATTAAGCTGCAAATCGCATCACGGCTTCTCTGCTACTGCTTTACAGCTATCTCTCTCGCTCTCTCACTCTATGCCTTCCGCTTTATTTATTTATATAAATAATAATTAAAGTGTTACAAATCAAACGCCAAGTATTTCATATTTTTAATTATGTTTGTTTTTTATTACAATTATTTAAATATTTTTTTTTTCACTTTTTTCTTTATGACTTTCTTTGTTCTTGTGTACCATTTGAATTTAGCAATCGAAGTATTTTCTTCTTGAATTGTTTTTGTTTTTGTTGTTTGTTGCTTGTTTCTTTTTTGCCATATTTTTAAATTGCTACATAAATTTGCTTATTCTAAATTTTTTAGTGCGCTGCCATACATTTGAGTGGGATTTTGTTTACTTTATTTATGGATAGTGGAGTTTGATGGCCAAATGAGAATTGTTAATTGCTAGAGTTTATAATTTATTTATAGATTGTTTAAATAAAATACACTTTAGTATATACGTTACATTAATATAGCCAACGCATTAAATGCAATTCTTTTTTTTTTTTTATTTTTGTTAAATCAAATCTTACGATTTATTAAGAATTTACTTTACTTGTGTCATTTCTTGATTTTGTTTATTTTTTGTCCTTTTGGTTTTGCGCTTAGCCATACAAATTGTTAAATGTAAATTTCTAGTGGTGAAATCGTAGTACATATATCATATTCCATGTTTATATATAATATTTTTTGAATTGTTTTTGGAATGGCACATCAATATAAGAAAATGGGCCCTAAAATCTGCTCGAGTCTGCATAGATTCTAGACTATTTGGGATGCGATTAATGTTAGTCATAAATTGTAGATGCTTTGTATTTGATTTGGGGGGGTGGAGGAGGGGGGATGGGGGCATATGCAGACATTTATTGTAAATGCTATGACACAGCTTTTACTTTACATGGCCTAGAGTCTAAGCGCTAAGTGTTTAAAACTATCACAAAATACACACAAACTATATACAGCAGATGGGAGGGGCCTCTATGTACACGCCCTCCTAGACCATGCCCTTGGACATCATGCGCACGGTGTTCTTCAGGGCCTGTCGCTTGTTGCAGAACCAAATGCGGATCACTTCGCGCTCGTAGCCCAGCTGGTGGGCCAGTCCGGTTATTTCGGTGCCTAAACGGGCAAGCAAAGAGAGTAGGAGATACAAATTCAGGTGTTGCACATGGCCCGTCTCATGCGGCTTGTCCACTGAAAGTTACCACTCACCGGATGGATGCGTATTGCGCTCAAAGTGCGCGTTCAGCAGCTCCAGGGCCTGAGGTGTGAAGGAGGTGCGACGCTTGCGCTTCTTCGACGGCTCCACGCCAATATAGTCGGTCAGATGGTTCTGGCCGGACTTGTAGCGATTCCAGTGACTGAGCGAACGAAACAGAGAAAGATAGTTTAGTTGATTTTGCTAGTTGTGTGGGGGAACGTGGTGTGGAACTGCCTCCATACTCTCACCTCTCTTCGGCCTCCTTCATCCAGCGCTCCAAGACGGGCTTGATTTTCTGAGCACTCTTTGGTGTGATGTCGAGTTTCTCGAACCTATATGCATATATATATATATGGATAGAGTAACTTAGTAACTGCCGTTCGATCGCGTTGCGCGAAAAGTAAAAGAAACGTAACTAAAGTGCCAGGACATTGTCAAGTAGCATACTTTTTCTTTTAACGGCCGCAATTCGCTTTAGGCCTCACAAAAAACATACAAAATTTGTTGTTGAAAGCTGCTAAAATATTGCTCATTGGCAATGCCCTGGCCAATCATATTCGTTGGTGTTGTTGGTGGGAAAAGCGCATACTTATAATGATAAATACAAAAACAAAATGTACAAAACAAATATGAGCTCTTTTGCACTTTAGTTAAGTTTCTTTCTCACACAGACACACACAGTCGCACGCGCATGCACACCCACACACACACACACACAGCTAAGCACACATACATGTTCTGTTGTTGCGTCGACAGTTGAGCGGCATACATCTGCGCAGCGAGTGCACTGCTTGCATTTTGGCATTGGATGTTTGACGTGGGGTTTGACAGCCATTGACAGCGAGCGAGTGAAAGGGAGAGTAGACGGTTGGCGATTTCAAAATAAACAATAAAAATAAATATAAAATAAATTTTGCATTATTTTCGTTGTCACTTGTTTAAATAATTAACTAAGCATTATGTTCGATATATATATCAATATAGTTAGCATAAAAAATATATATACATATATTTATTACAAATATATTTATATATATATATTTCCTTTTTTTATAGCTTGTTCAAAATGTCCTGGCACTCTAAAGATTGTTCCAGAAGTATTATAAAACTAATTAAAATTAAAGCATTCTAAATTTGTTTCGATTGCAAAATAATTCTTGTTTTTTTTTTAGATAAATTATAAAAACGTTTTTCTTCTGCTTTTTTGTTGCCTTCTTTATGAACTATATTATTTTGATAAATATGAAATTGTAGAATTTTCATTAAATTATAGAAATTATATTTGAATAAATTTTTTAAGTTTTTTCTAATTTTTTTCATGTTTAAAATTCAGGAAAAAACATCAAAGGAAACGTGATAAAAAATTTCACATTTTGTTAAATTCTCGTGTTTTCTTATCTATCAAAGTTGGTATCGCTCTTATAATATATATTTATCATTGAGTTAATTGAGATTTTGTCCAAATTGAAGTTTGCTTCTAACGTAATACGAAATGAAACGAAACATCTCGCATCTTAAAGGCTTCTAGACAGACTCGATTATTTTACATCTATGTAAATTCGTCTATTCATAGCTCACCTGCATATGGCACTCTGGCTGTACGCCGGCCCCTCGGTCACGGACAGCGCCTGACCCACCTGGGTCTGGGTGAGGCCCAGCGAGAGACGTCGCAATTTGAATGCCTTGGCGAACTCCTTGATCTCGTCCAAGTCAATGCCGTCGACCACATTTGTGGTGGCCTGATTAATGGTGGGCTCATCTGAAAGATACGTTTAGTTCAAGGGTTCAAGTTAACAAGTCGCACTAACGGTACTTAAGTGCTAAGCTAAAATGGCCACTGGCCAGACAAGCCGACTGCCTTTCCCTATCTATCCGTCTGACCGCCTCATAACGGGCTCGGTTCAAGGCAATAACTGTCAATGCGAAATGACAACATTAATTGGCTACGAGTCGCGCGACTCTTAATTACAGTTAATTGCGGTAATTGCGAAATATTATTAGAGTGTCGTAGGTAAATTGATAAAACTCATTTGCCATGGCACAGGAAGACACTTGGAGGTTGTTGCCGTTGCCGTTGCCGTTGCTGTTGCTGTTGCTTTTATTGCTCTGTCACTTAGGTCTTGTTATGCTTGTCTATTAGGTAAACGGGAAAACTTGCTGGCTTTATCTGCTTAATTTGTTAGCAGCTGCTCGCTGTCTCAACGACACTCGCCAAACTACACGCACAGAAATTTGATTTATTTATTAATGATATGCAAGCGACAACAAGGAGACGACAACGACTCTGCCAGAAGACACCAGCAGCCAAGCCATTCACTCGACTGTAACTGCAGCCGAGGCGCTTTAGCGGTAATTAAGATGCGCCCCAGCCCCAGCTCTGCTGTTATCCTTGTCTGAATCCTTGCCAAGCCATAACTTGGGCTGCTGTCGTCGCCGCCGCCGCCGCCGCCGCCGCTTTGTTGTTTGTTTGCCATCGAGAAGTGAAATATGTCATTAAATACGAAAACATCTTAAGTTTTTGTATGCATCAATTAGTAGTAATTAAGCTGCATATTGTCTGCAATTTGTATGCGATGCGACACTAGAGAGCTGCCATCAAGTAGCTAGCGAAGTAGCACCCCAGCTCACCCCTCGTTGCAATTGAGACTACGCTATGCACTGAAACCTGTTAGCTGATGGCTTAGCTGATGCCTTACGCCTGGGGCTTGACGCTGCCTTCTTGTTGTGCTGATTGCATTTTTAATGCATCCAAAGTTTCAATTTAGCTGCAACCGAACACACACAGGCACACAGACACACATATGCATGAGCAACACAGCTATTGATAGGGACTCAGGGTGTCGGGCGGGTGCGGAGATGAAAGAAACTCTCAAATTGATTTCATAAGATGACACAGACTTTTTGTGCTTTGTATAGCAAACTAGCAGCAGGATTGAAATAGACTGCAGAGTGGTCAGAGTAAGCAGTTAAATTGTCTTATAATTTAATTAGAAATTATTCAAAATAAACTTATTTTTCTATGAAAACTTCTTGCGCAAAAGAAAATTAAAAAAATGCACAAAAAGAGAATGAAAAAAATAATTAAAACTGCTATAGAAAAAGATTAATTTAACGTCAATAAACATCTGCCTACATTTGAAATTATTTACAAAATATTAAGTATACGCCAGGGATTTCGAGAGCATTTTTGATTACGTCAAATGCTCATAATATTTATATTATTTTTAATAATAATTATGTATTTTCTAATTATATTATTTTGCTTTCAATGAAGTTAACTCCAATACCTTTTCTGATCCAACTCTATGAAATGAAATATTTTTTACAAAATATCGCTTGCAATTAATTTTTGCTAAATAACAATTTGAATGCAAATAAAATATTTATTTACACAATTAGTAAGAGCCCCAAACACACACGCGCACAAATGAGCAGAGAGCTGGGATTTGGCTAGTTGAAATTCAAGTGGCAGTTGAAAAGCTCAATTCCAGCTCGCAAATGATGCTGGGTGGCCCGATGATTTGATATTTTGAGAACTCATAGACAACGTGGCGTATGAGTGATATTTATAATATATGCACACTCACACACACAGACGGTATTTTGGGCAAGTTTTATAACATTAATTAAGGCAGTTCGAGAGCGGCAACAGAAATAAAACTTTGACTGCGTTTTAAATGAAAACAAGCCCTAACAAGTTAACTGGATTTTAGGTAATTTCCAAAAGAAAATGCACGTCAAGCTTATGGGCAGGGGCAGCAGTGAGAGAAAGAGAGAGAGAGAGACGTAAGTGTGATGTGTGTGTGGAAAAGTTTCGCTGTGCATTTACACGATTTCTCACAATTTGGTTCATAATTGATGCAGCCGCGAGCCGAACAAAACTCCAGCCAAAGATTTAGCAACGCGCTGCCAAAAGTTGAAAGATGTCAGTCGTAAGTGTTAGGCAAATTAGCAGCAGCGTTGCGGCTGTCACGCCTCGGCAACAAATCGACAAGGAGCAGCCTGTCACAAGGCCTTACGCCAAGTTGTTCCGATTAGCTGGCACGGCATTACGCGATATAAATATAATGAACAGTCTGGGCAGAAGTCAGCCAACTAGATCGTCGTCTGAGTCGACAGCATTATAACTATTAAGCCCCTCAGCTAAGACCTAACTTATCTTTAAGTAAATGAGTTTGAAAGAAAAGAGTCGATCTTTACTCACTCGGTGAATCCATGAGCAGGTCGTTGTCATTGTCATTGCCATTGGGAGACAGCTGGGGCGGCTCGCTGCGCGATGAGGGGCTTAGCTTCAGGGGCTGCATGAGTGAAACACCCGATGTGGATGGGCCCGGCAGCGGTGAGTCGTCACGCGGCGAGGCGGATGAGGCACGCGTGGCTGTCGCCGTTGGCGGACTCAAAGATTTGGTGATGGTTAGCTCGCCATTGGAGGCGTTGAGTCTGCGAAAGGCAAGCGCTTAGATACTTAGAAACTGCAACTTCACCTGCCTATAGCTTACCTATTAATGCTGCTAAGTACGTTGCCTGTCGAGCTGGACGCTGTGACCGTCGACGTGCAGTTGGTAGCCGAGACCGAGGCGCCGCTGGAGCCGCCGCTCAAGCTTGGTCCATTGCCCAGATAGTCGCGGTCCAGGCGCGGCGAGCTGCCCATGTTGAGGGCGTGCACGGGCGGCGAGTGGGAGCGGAACAGTGGAGATGAATAGCCTCTTTCGTTGCTGCTGCTGCCGATAGCTGATTGAGTGGACACCGTAGGCGTTAGGCGTCCACTGGACACGTTGCCAGCTGCTCGCTCGTGCGGCAGATGATGCACGGACGCCGCGCCCGATGTGCTCGTCCTGATGGCCGTCGCAGTGGGCGTGTGCGAGCGTCGCTCCAGCCGCTCATGGTGCTGGCTGAGATTCATGCCCGTGGCACCGGAGGAGCCGCGTCCCGGACTGTGCTTGGGCGACGCTGCAGCCGCCGTGCGCAGATTGTGCCCGAAATGATGTCGCGCCAGCGCCGCTGACGGTGGCAAAGCGGGTGGCGAGACGCTGCTGCTGCTATTCAGCTCCAGCGGCTTTAGGTCCAGCTGCGGCGCTGTCAACTCATCCGGATGCCGCAAGCTGATTTGCGGATGGGCCGCCGACGTGGCTGTCGCCGTCGTATTGTGCAGATGATGATGCAGATGCGTCTGCGTCTCAGGCTTGATGTGCAGCTGCTGTTGCAGCAAGAAAGCCGCTGCCGGCGGAGGCGGTGGGGCTGGCTGCTTCGTCGGCAGCGCCGGACTGCCCACAGTGGGCGAGCCAGACGGAGGCGTGCGCTCCGCGGAGCGTCGCAGGTCGGCGGCCAGGTGAGTGTGAGTGTGTGGCAAGTGGCTCGCTGCAGCTGCAGCCGCTGCTGCTGCTGCCAACTGCTGCTGCTGCTGCTCGCGCTGCTGCTGCTGATGATTGGCGGCAGCGGCGGCAAACAGCTCCGGATGCAAGGCAGTCAGCAGCTGCTGCACGCCCGTCGAGAAGAGATTCGGCTTCAGTAAATTCGTGGGAGTTTGCGCCAGTTGCGGCAAGGCTGGTGCATGCTGCAGTGCAGCCAGCGGCGGAGCCAATAGCTCGCGCTGCTGCTCGCGTTGTTGTTCGCGTTGCTGTTGCTGTTGCTGCTGCTGCTGCTGCTGCTGCTGCTGATAGCTGGCAAAAGCGCCAAATGCGTTGGGCAGAAACTGTTCGCTGGTGGGTATCTGTGGGCTCACCGGAATGGTAAGTATGGTCTGCACAGCAATGCCTGAAGAGAGAGAAGCAGGTAGAGATGGAGTAGATTAAACAACTGCTGAGAAGCTAATTTGGAGTCTAAACTTAACTGAGTCTAGAGCTAACTAGTTTAACCAAGTCTAATGTCAATGCTCTAATCAAAAGTAAAAACCTAATCAGCTTTAGCTTGAGTCAAATATATAAAAATATGAATATTAAAACTTAGAATTTGGCAAAGGGTTTGCTTCAATATAAATCAAGGAAATTGAAATTCGCGTAATCGCTTTAGCTTTAGACCGTGTCTGTGCTAAAAGCCAAAGTCAAGTGAAGTCAACTGTGTTATTGATAGCCAGCACAACTAAAACTAATCCCGCACACACGAGCCACCCACCTTGGGCCGTTGGTATGAGCAGTTGGGCGCCCTGGACGCCCTGCACCAGCTGCCCGGAGGCGAGTATCAGTTGCGGCATCTGCGCGCTCGCCGGCGGCGCTTGGAGCGCTGGCGGTGGCGATGCGGTCGCTGCAGCCAACACATTCGCCAGCGTCGTCGCGTTGAGGGCGTGGGCGTGGGCGTGCGGTGAGCTGCTGCTGCTGGGATTATCCTGCGGCTGCTGGCTGGAGGAATTGCCGGTTGCGCTGCTGTTGCTGTTGCTGCTGTTGTTGTTGTTGCTGTTGTTGTTGTTGTTGCTGCTGTTGCCCTTTGACGTCTTGTGCTTGTTGCCGTTGTGGCAGCCGCTGTTGTTGTTGTTGTTGCTATTGCTGGGCGAGGGACTTGCTGCAGCAGCAGCTGCTGCTGACGTTGAAGTGACTCCAGCCGCCGCTGCTGCTGTTGTTGTTGTCACAGCCTCAGCGCCCACACTCAGATTCAAGGGTGAGTTAAACACGGAGGCAGCTAAGCCCTGAAGACTTGCCAATGCGGCCGCTGTGGCGGGATGATGATGGGAATGATGTGAATGCGGATGCTGCTGCTGCTGCTGCTGCTGTTGCTGGTGCTGCTGATGATGTTGCTGTTGCTGCAGTGTGGCCAAATTTTGTAATTTTTGCAAATTTATCATGTCTTGCACTGGATGGGAGAGATAAACAAAAGGTATACGAAAAATGTTTACATTAGTTTGGGCCAAAGCAGTTGCAAAATTAGCAGAAATGTCACAGTCTCCGGGCTCTGATATAATCAAGCAGCCCTAAAAGCTGCCAGCCAGCACTAATTGCCAGTTGGCGCTGTTGACGTGTTGCAAGTGTGTGTGGCCTGTCCTAAACAGAGATGGAAACTAATGCTAAAGCGGCTTTTGCTCTAGCCTAGCTTCAGTTGGAAAATGTTTTACACAAAGTTCACATATTGTGAGCAGATATTTATTATAGATATTTATTATTATAATATATATTTTATATATATATTATATATTTTATATATATATATATATTATAATAAATGTAGATGTTGGCGTATTTTATACCATTCAAGCTGCAGACTCTGCTTTCTGGTAAGATAAGTCGCAACTAGAGGCAGGCTAAGACTGTGCCACACAGACAGCTTTAATCAGACTAGAAATATTCCTTATTCTATCTGTCTGCACTTGATATATATAGGAACAATCAATTACTAACATATTTCAAAGCTCTACCCATAAAAGCTGTTTAATTTTCATTCTTCTATCCTATCCACAGCTTCGATATTCAACTAAAACAAATGCTGACTTCTCTGAGCTGCTTGTGCCATGCTCAAGCCGTTGGCAGTTTCCATCTCTGTTAATTGTATCAGTTATGGCTTGGCTTTTGATATGTACTCACTAGTTCCATTTAGATGTGCCGCGAATGCCTTGGCCTGCGCTTGCTCCTCGCGACGTAGACGCAACGCCTCGGCCGTTTGGTCCTCCGCTTCGTCCTCATCCGCATCGATTTGCATGGGCAGGGGCGAGACGGAGCTCGTGTCGCGCTGGTGATTGGCCAGCGAGGCAGCCTTCGCGGCAAGATTCTTGTAGAACTCCAGCTCCTTGACATGCTCCTTGGAGTCGTAGGCTGAGTGGTTGGAGTGAGCGGGCGAGAGCAGCGTTGGCTCCATCTCATCTTCGTTGTTGTTATTGTTGTGGTTGTGGTGGTGGTGGTGGTGGTGCTGGTGTTGGTGGTGCATATGCTGCTGCTGCTGTTGCTGCAGTTGCTGCTGTTGGTGATGCAGGGGAAGGTGGGCGTGGTTGCTGCTGCTGCTGCTTGGCGAATGTATCTTGTGGCAGCTAATCTCCTTGTCGTAGTCCTGCAACAGAAATGGATAAAGTGGATCATTAGTCAAGAGCTTTAACTGCACCAGTCTTTCTCGTGTCATGAGCAACTGCATGAGATTCTGCGTAAAATTACGCATACGCCCCGTGCGCCGACGTAAATCATGGCACAGCCAATGAATCGAGCGCTGTGATTGCTTTTATTAAATTATATTTTTGCACATTTGGCAATTACATAATCCGCACTGCAGCACTGTCAATTGTTTGACCACGCCCAGCTGCCGTCGTGCCACAGGGGGCCAAATGTTTGCTGATTGGATTATTATTTAAGCGACAGCAGCGACATTTACTCGTATTACATCAACCGAGTGTTCATTTACATGTTTAAATATATTTACACACACACACGCACACAGATCATCGCACAGCGGCTATATGAGTTAATAAGTTAATTTAATTTCAGCTGTAATTGTCAACGCACTTTTATTGTTTGACACTTATTGTGTTTCCTGCTCGCATGGGGTTGTAGCTCAATTTATGCAAATGTAATTGGTTGCAATTGTTCAACTGCCGCTGTGTGTGAGAGTGTTTGCGGATACATGAATTAAAGGACATTAGCAGAGTGTCAAATATCAAAAATAATATAATTTACTATTCTTACACAGCTTTATTAGTAACAAACACAGAGACGCATCAGGAAGGAGATAATTTTCATTTCAATTTTCACAAATTCCCTAAGACTTTAAGAGCGCCAGTTTTTGGTATGAGCAATTCGCTCGAGCCATTTGTAATTTAAAGATGGAACTTGCCTTTGGGTAAACACGACGCCATAGAGAAAATATTTGTAAAAAAAAATAAAAAAAATGAAGAAGAAATAGAAAGGTAAACCAATATAATTATTGGCAATTAATGCTGGCAACGCTCTCAAAATGTGCTGCAAGCCCAGCGGAGCGAGCTCGTTTGGGCAGGAAGCGTGCGGCAGGAGCGGAGGGTTGCGACATTAATGCCAGGGCGTCGCAGTTGCCTAAGTGCGGGTTGCCGGCGTCTCGTGGCCCGCGACGTGCCCTGGCCAGAGCTTCAATTAAATTTTATTTGCATAGGAAATTAACATAATTGTAGTGCAAAATAACAACCCAAATACAAAAAAAGAAACCAAGAAAAAAGAGCAATAAAAATAAGCAGCGAACGTGACAGTGTAGAAAAAGTGTTAAATGTGTAAGGAATAAATGCAAATAGAAATCTGCTGGCCAGCATGGTAATTAAATGAGTTTTTATGGCAGTGCTAGATGCGCGCCGAACCCACGGCAAAACCAAGCTAAATGCATGCTCTGATTCTATGGCAATTGAAACGAAAACTCATAGATAAACACTTGAGAATAACAATTGCTAATTTCTATAGCTATTTAACCTTAATTATATAATATGTCAATAAGTTGAGCTAAAGTTTTAATATTCACTTTTCATTTAGGCAACTTGATATGGCGCTTAGAATAACTAAATTTGTGTGCTATCAAATTGAACAGAAATTCTGCTTTTGCTTCATTCTATGCCTCAGTTGGAGTCCTCATTAAATTTCAATTAACTCTTTTTTAACTATTAAAGCTCACAGCTTTCTACTCAAATTCTAGCTACCAATAACAACAAGTCAAGGCAGTGAAATCTAGAGAGCTTGAAATGTTGATGAATAAAATATAATAATGATTAAATGAGTCTTTATTTATGATGCTAAGACAATTTGCTACAACAAATTGTGTATTTCAAAAAATACTTAAATACTGAAACTTAATGCTCACCTGTAGAAACATAGAAACTATCTACATAAGTACGTTATTTATTTTATATATTAAATAAAATATTTATTAAATTCAGTTTTCATATAGAGTAGATAATATTAAGCTTCTCCGCATTTAAACATTTAACCATAAAATTGAGTAGAATTCGAACTATAAGCTTCAATCTATGCTTCCCTTATAGCATACTATAAATTCCCACCTTTTTTCTTTCAACTATAAAAGTCAGCTCTGGCGAACGTTGTCCTTAATCATCTATTCACACGCTTTTAAAAAACTCTAACTATATCAAAAGTGAGTCTGAAAAGTATGCAAACGCCATTTGCCATATGCCAGGACAATAATTAAGAGCTTGATAAATTTCATTGCCACGTGCTAAAACTACATTAAAACAAGCACGAAACTAGTAGGCGAGTGAGCCCGACCATGCAATACTCTGTTAAAAACTTATGACTGAAACTCTACAATTATTGAGGCTAGTTTGATATACAAGAACTCTTTATAGAATAGTTAAACATAATTTCAGTAAAACTTCATCTATAAAACTTTAGATATTTCTCCATTTATACGTCTAGCAAAGTAGACTTTATTCATAGTCAACATACCCGTTTCTGCATTGTTAGTCGCGTATCAAATATGACATTTATTGGCGTCGGCAACGGCAGTGGGAGCCAACACACACACACAGAGTACCACAACTACTTAAGCAGGTGGTGGATAGCAAAATTCATCAATAGACCAGGAGCTGCGGCCAGAGGACGGCAACGCCAAGCAGGGCGCTCGATAGTTGTTGCCAGCTGGCGAGAACGAACGAGTTAATGCCGTTGAACAGCAAATCGAACTAAATTTATGACACACGTTGAAAGAGCGTAAAAAAAGAGAAGGTGAAAAAACTATAAAAACACAAAAAAAATGAAAGAGGAAAAATAAAAAAATGAAAGGCAGGCAACGTAAATGTCCTGTGTGCATGTCCTTTATGCAAACAGGCGGCAAACAGACGGCAACCGCCGACGACGCGGACAGTCACTATATGCCACACAGCAGCAGCAGCAGTGGCAGCAACAGTAGTTGGCGCTGCAGCTGCGGCGGCGGCGACTGGGCGTGGGGGCCGTAGCTGATGCACTGATGTGCAATGAATTAACTTTTCAACATATTTACACACGCTCAATTGAATGGCAGAGTGAGTGCGCGTTGCATGGAATTGGAAAGGGGCGTGGCTAGCGCCCGCAGCTACAAAGTTGCTGAACAAAAAGCGGGGCACATAATGAGGCGCTGACGTCGCTCATTGTTGCAGCCGTCGCAGCAGTTTCGCAAATGAGCGGAAATTAAAAACTGATTTAGTACGACGTCTGCCAGAGTGGGACTGGATGTGGAGCTGCTCTGGAAAAGTAGCTGAGTGCTGTAGCTGAGACGTATTGAGAGGTGTCATTCAGCCAAACAAAAAAGGATTTCTTATGCTTTAAAGCTGAGCATAGGCTTCAAATGAATCTTATTACGAATATGCATTCAATAGAGTTAAATAATGCAGCGACATCACTTGAGCAGCGATTGCAGCTGAGAGTATGGCTTAAAGGGCAATGCTTAGGAATTTGCCTTGACTGAACAAGTAAAATACCAGAAGCTGCAACTTCAATAGCTGCAAAATCATTTTACCAATTTGAATTAGAAAATAAGCAAAAAGGAAAAAAGTAGGAAATATTTAAATATTTGTATAATTTGAGTATTTAATTTATTATTTACTTAAACATTTGAATAATTTGAGTATTTAATTTATTATTTACTTAAAGGTTGAGTTATCAATACTACTTTATTTAACAGCCAATTTAACAACTGATTTTAGCATTTTGTTAATCTTGGTTAGACATTTCATTGCGAATAGACTTACACCACAGCAACAATTGTGGAAATATTTATCAAAAGAATTGTGCTGTTCGTCAAACTGAATTCATCTAATGGCTTGCAAAATGTTGAAGGTCATTTTAGGCATAATTGTCATTGTCGTAGCGGGGATAATTTACAAGCTTTTATCGAAATTACATTGCATCCATAAAAAATTGTTAATTGGCGCGCTTCATGTTTTATCCGAGTCATTGGTGCATATGTCTTGAACAACAACGATTGTGTGCATTAAAAAAATTAGTGCTTCATATTGCATTATATAAAATTATACTTAAATAATAATGTCATAGAGTTTTCTATCTAAAAAACCCATTTTATTGGTATTAAAAATAAATATTACTTTTTTATTACGATTTTAAGTTGTGTTACTCCAAAAGAAAAACTAAAATTATACATTTTATAAATGTTTAAGAATGTAATAAATTTTTAAATTTTCTTGAGCCAAACTCAAAAACAGCCATAACTTAAGCATTTTAGCCTCGACTTAATTTGTTTTCGCTCACTTCAGTTAGCATTCAATTTAATATTAAGTTGTGCGAAGGCCTACTGATAATATTCATCATTACTGGTTTTACCGCCTATCCAATCGGGGCTGTCTCTTTACGTTAATAACTCAGTTGCGAGACGCCTCAACGTATGCAATACAAATGCTCACAAAAGGTAACGCGCCAAATTTATAGCCACGCCATGCCATGCCACGCCGCGCCATGCCACGCCATGCCACTTGTGCGCTGTCCAGCTGGACGGGAGCTGCAGAGGCTCACACACATGAGTCGTGGCACTCTACTGCTCACAGCAGCTCGGCAGCACTTGAAGCAGCCGAACGATGAATGTGCAACAACTTTTACTTTTGTTTTTTTTTTTTTTTATTTTTTTGCTTTGCTTTTTGCGACGCCGTCAGATGAAAATAAGTCAAAAAATAGAAAATGAATTGAATTATTGCAAAAAGCGCGAGCCGCGTTGCTGGCCAAAAGGAGTTCGAGTGAGTGGCTAGGTGGCTGAGGTAGGTGGTAGGATGCTGGGCACTTGACAGCCCTAGTGATAAGCAAAGCCCCGGCGCGAAATGGAAATGCGATGGCGGCGACTGCGACGGCGGCTGTGGCAGCGACAGCGACAGCGACTGCGACTGCGACTGCGATGGAAACGGCAGCCTTTGGTTTCTTCTTATTATGCGCCAGGAACTTTTCTCTATGGGTGGGTGGGTGTGTGTATACCCTGTGAATGTGCATCGTAAGGCGAGCTAGCAAGTATGTGTTTACAATAAAATTATAAAAAGTAAGTTCTTCTCTTTAAATAATGTAAATTAATTTATGAATATTAAAATATTTAATTTAATATTTTTTAAT